TGTTTACAAGAAAATCAGTGGGAGCGTGGTGGTGTTTCTTGTGCTTTACGGAGATGACATACTGCTTATTGGAAACAGTAAGAAGGAGTTGTCAGACGTAAAGGTGTGGTTGTCTAAGCAGTTTGATATGAAGGACTTAGGTGAAGCAGGACACATTCTTGGTATTAGGCTCATTAGAGACCGTAAGAAGAAATTGTTGTGCTTATCCCAGTCTTCATACATAGATATTGTCTTAGCCAGATTCAACATGCATGATTCCAAGAAAGGTATGTTACCTTTCAGACATGGAATACCTCTATCTAAGGAGATGTCTCCTAAGACGTCTAAGGAGATAGAGGAGATGAAGACAGTTCCTTATGCTTCGGCAGTAGGAAGTCTCATGTATGCAATGTTGTGCACTAGGCCAGATATTAGCTACGCCGTTGGCATGGTAGCTAGATATCAAAGTAATCCGGGACGGGAACATTGGTCTGCGGTGAAGCATATACCAAGTACCTGAGAAGGACTAAGGAGTACATGTTAGTTTACTGGCAGGCAGCTTGTTACCTCTGGGTTACAGTGATTCTGATTTTCAGTCAGATAGAGATGAAAGTAAGTCAACCTCAGGTTATGTGTTTACCTTGAGAAGTGGAGCCATTTCATGGAGGAGTGCTAAGCAGAAATGCGTGGCAGACTCCACCATGGGAACCGAGTACATAGCAGCCTCAGAGGCAGCGAAAGAGGCAGTTTGGCTCAGGAACTTCTTAGTGGACTTAGAGGTTATACCGATTTTGCCACGTGGTATCACCGTGTACTGTGATAATAGTGGAGCAGTAGCGAACTCAAAAGAACCTCGAGCCCACAGGGCAAGCAAACACATAGCGCGCAAATACCATCTGATTCGGGATATCGTTGGTAGAGGAGACGTTGATGTTGCCAAGATTGCGTCAGAGGACAACCTAGCTAATCCTTTCACGAAGAGTTTGCCGGGGAAGGTCTTCGTCAAACACGTGGAGGAATGGGAGTCATGATCATGGCTATAGGATCGACATAGGTCTTTTAGAATAACGGATTAATAGGACTATACTGTAAAAGCGAAAGCTTTAAGTATAAGTGAGAGATTGTTAGTGTTATATACTGAAAGCTTGGCTTTGCATGTTATTACACATTTACCCTTTATGAATGAGAATCATGTTACATTAAACAAGTTCTACGTTCTGTTGTTCTGCACTTAGATAGGGTGGGTCGTCATCGGGCGAACCGAAGATCGCTCTATCAGTCACTTGCGAACAAGAATAGTTGTTCACAACCTAGATGGACATGAACACCCCATCCGAACGGTTGTAGTGTCAACTGTACAGTTTGTCTTGACTGATTAGTTGCACTAGTACATTTATGTATTGAACAGGATCCCAGAGAGGAGAAGTTCATTTTATACTGATCGTCGTAAATGAACTAGACCTCGGTTAATTACTGCGTTTTCTTAACCCGTAAGATATTAAACAGGCAGATATATATAATATATATTACTTTGATTCACATTGGTGAGGTTCAGTTCGCTGAATTAATATTCCTACTGTTTTGGGTAATATTATTATATATAGGATGTGCTGTTAGGATATTTACGGTCACCATGTGCATTAGTTTGATGATGTCCCCGGAGTGAGTTCATGAAGGATTGTTATGCTAAACCCTGCAGGTGGATTAAGTTCCGGCATAATAAGAATGTGATGAACGAGCGCTAGCTTCGGTGAAATAATGATAAATTAATTAATTCTTGATTGTCAGTAATCGAATTAATTAATGGACATTATATCTTAAACATGGGGAGGTAAATCGAGTAATTATTATTGGAGTCTCAAATGTAATTTGGGCTAGGGAAAGGGAGTGTAATAATATAATGTTGGTGGCCCATTAATATTATTTAATTAACTAGAGGAGTGGGCTTGGCCCACAGTTAATCTAATTAATTAAGGAGCCTCTTTCCTAATCTCCTAAGGGTCCCTACTGTAGCTCTATATATACATCATTAAGCTCATGAGAAGAGGTGAGAATTCCTAATCACACGTGAGACACGCCCCACGCCTCTCTCTCTCTCTAGATCTCATTCGAGCTTTATCTTCTTCTTGTTGCTCCACTGGTACAAGTAGAAGAAGGGTGTATTGAGTAAATACGGTAAAAGATCTGTAAGGTAAACCGAGACGAAATATATTTTGACCTACAAAACTAACCAGAAGTCCGATTGAGACGTACACCATACCCTAACGACCGTCTCGACGAGAGCTTTCCATCGCCGCCGAGATCGCATCCGTCTGACGCCTCACGCGCCCTCACGCGCCGCCGGAAGCTCTCAGGCCGCAAAGTTTTGTTTTGATCTGTTTGCATCCGTTTGATCCGATTTTGATCTGATCTTGTTCGTGCAACCCAAGACGTGATTTGCAGTCAACCGTTCGTGATCAACTAGATCTACATAAATTTTAAGTCATAAGTTCTCTACGTCAAACCTTTAGATCCGCTGCGCATAGGTTTACGTTTGCTATTGAATTCGTGACTTGTACATAACGAGATCCTCACAGATCCCAACACAAACTTAGGTTGATACCAAATGAATAAGAAATCACCGTTGTTACTAATGTTGATAAATAAGATTCAATTGTAACATGTGATAAATATCATAATAAAATTTCCATATTTGATTATCGATTTTTATTTTGTAATATATTTGCAATCTTATCGTGCATATTCAAATAATATTTTCTAAAAACATAATATATTTAATAGAAGTTTTTTTAAGACATGTTGTATAGTTGGTTATCGAAAAAATAAGAAATTGCAGTGATTCGTGATTAATATGAAGAATCCATCTTTTACTGCAATAATTATCACAAAATTATTTTCAAACGATACCACTTTATTTATATAGAAAGTCGTGCTATGAACCAGATTGAACAATTTACAACAGGTAGGTATAATTTAATTTTAATTCTTCTGTCAATATTAAAGTCATTTTTACTAAATTTCATTTAATAGTAAGTCAACCGATTTAATTATAAAGTCAAAGTTACTATTTTAGATTATTCTATCAACCTTTTTTAATATATATAGATATAAAATTGAATCAATAAAAAAAAGATAATAATTTACATTATACGTAAAAATTGAATCTACAGTTTAACAAATTTAGTTTATATCTGCTCAAATTTTTAGAACATTCAATATCAAATGAGTACAATATTCATTTATATAAGTGAATATAAATTTCCTATACTATATCATTTGCACAGATAATTCATATCCATTTTTAGATTAGTTAAAAAAGCATTTGATATTTATTTGTTTATCAAATAAAGAATATTAATGTTATAGATACTTTAAGATTTGATATGCACATTGTTTATTAGTTAAAGAATTTCAATGTATTGCCCGTAAATTTACATTTTTTTAACTATAAATATGCATATTTAGGACTCTGCATTTAAAATCATATGTCAAAAGATTCAAAATTATTAAATTAAACCAGAAAAATATAATTGGGCTTGTACAAAAATAAGTTAATATTAGTATGCTAAATATTTTTTTTTTTCACGGATTGGCCTATGGTTAAAATGGCTAGAATTGACCCATCATTTATTTAACCATAATTGGATTTAATTTGATTCTCATTGCTTCTTTTAATTGTTAACATCTCTAAATAATATTAGAAGATATAGAAGCCATAGGATTCTCAACAACCAAACAGAATAGATTTGTTATTTGTTAAGATTTTTTCAATATGTTAGAAAAGGGAATAAAATCGCACTTTATAGAAAAACATAATTCTATAATTAGGCACAATTTATTTAAATATCTAATTATACACGTGGCATCTAAATTGATCAAATTGGTTACAAAAAATGAAGGATTCAAACAAAAATCAGGACCTTCAAACAAAGAAGGATTTTATCCGAAATTTTTAATTTTGTTACAAAAAATCAGGATCTCAAAATATCCTAACAAAATATCTGAAAATGGTGAAATCGGATTTTATGATATATGACATACAAATCAAATACAAAAAATAGGGAAGTTGTTGGCTTTATGTGCGTGAGAAATAAATATTGCAATATTAGAATTTAAATGGGATTTCCAAACAAAGTAAGTCAAAGGCTTTGACCAAAATTTTTTATCAACTTTCCACAAATGCTTTATTGACCATCCTTTTTCAATATATATAGATTCGTAATTAATTCCACCAAATCACTATATATCTGGTTAAAATCCTAAATCTACATTTCGGTCAAAGCCATAAATTTGTTATATATGTTTCAAATTTTTTTTATTTTAAAACTTTTAAAAATAGAAAATGAAATATATATTTTACATATCCTATATATATCCGGGCAAAGAATACTGTATTGAAAAAAATCCTATATAATAATTGATTCAACAAAATATTTAAAAATATTAGAATTCTTAATCATCAATTTTTATTTTTTTTTTAAACGAAAATTTTCAAATTAAAGAAATTCTTATTACATGTACAATAAATAAAACAAATTTTACCTTTTAAGAATTTTATCTATTATTAACAATCTAATCTCCTTATTTATCTAACAACTTACTTAACAATTTTAAAATATTAAAATTCTTAATCATCAAAATATTTTATTTTTAAATTATGATTTTCAAATTAAAGAAATTCTTATTACATGTACAATAAATAAAAAATATATTTTATAAAAATAAAACTGTTTAGATCAATTTATATAATATAAAAAAATTCAAAAAACTTGAGGATCTCTTAAAAATTCAGTCTTCTTATTTATCTTATAACTTAATTAAAAAAACCACACCTTTTTCCAATAATAAAAATTCTAATCATTGATCACTACGAATTTTTCAATCAATTTTTAAGCTTTAATTATATGTTCATAGATCACTACGAATTTCAAAGATTATATAATGGAGAGGTCATCATATAGCTCAATTTTTAAGCTTTAATTATATGTTCATATATCACTACGAATTTTAAAGATTATATAATGGTGAGGTCATCATATAGCTTTCAAATTGTAGGTAATTGATTTGGTTTAGTTAGTGTATATATATATTCCTCCTGCATAAACATTTATTAATATATAAATGTTCTTTTAAATTTAAATATTACTCTATGTGTGACAATTATTTGATTTTGTTTTTAATGTCACATTATTTTTCAAATAATATTAAATTAATCGATTACTATATAATAGATATATAGAGAGAGAGATTTACTTGAAATGGCATTAAAATTTCCGCTTAAAATTATTATTTTTAGTTTTTTTTTTTAAATGACGGCTGGATGGAAATTGATATTCGAATTAAAAAAAATATATATTTTGAGAAAGATATTGTGTAAACCTTAATTCCTAAAAATTATTGATAATGACTTCCTTAAATACAACAGGTAAATCTAGCCAATAATGAGAAGAAATATTGAAAATCTTGCTTCTAAAAAGTCTGACCAATTATTTTTTTAATTTTTTACGGTCAAACATGTAAATTTGGTTACAAAAATTTGGTCAATCATTTAACGAACAAAACGTTTGAAATTTTTTGAAAACTTTCGAAAGTCATGCCAACTTAATTGTTAAATATTATTTTATCTATATTTATCTATCTACAAATCTCATATTTTATGGTCACAACTAAAAATTTGTATTTATTTAATTAACAATGTTAATTTCTAAAAATTGGGAATCGTCCACAGAAAGCTTCAATTCACCAAAAGTCCACAACTAAAGGTTCAAAAAATCAAACAATCAAGTCGTCTGGTAAACTAAACTAAACCAAATTCGAGGGGGACAATTATTTTATATTGAAACACGACGATGTAGAACAAACTCCTTATCGGGTGAGTCATTGAATGAAAAAATTAGTACCTCGCAAGAAAAAAGTTGATATTGTGAACATGGGTAAAGATGGTTGATTCTTATGATTTTCAACAAGAGTCTGACTCAAACTTTGGTTTATATGTGATATGTTCAATTGTACAAGTGTTTTAGTTGTATGAGGTTTTGTGTTTATATATTGCTTATGTCAAGTTTAATCATATGTTGTATTGTGTTGTCTTGTCTTGTCTCATTAATTTCATTTTTTAACTTCTTTTTTTTAGTGAATGGACCTTTTTTTTAATTGTTTTTTTTTTTATTTTATACTTGATCTTGTCAAGATGTTTGGGATGATTTTGGATTTGATTATTCTCGACTGTAAATGAATTGCTCAAAATGCTTATAGTTTGGTGCTTTTACCTTAGTTTTGGTTTTCATACGACTTTAGATGGTGCTTTTCTCATGCTTAGTTTGATTGATTGATCCGAGAATGAGGTATGCTTATAAGCTGCAAGAAACACACATTGTAAGCCAATGAGAACTAAATGATTTAAACTCGGAATTGTGTTTGTTTATCCCCTTAAATTTTAGGATTGTGTTGTTTATTCCTTGAAGTGGGGTTTAGATGTGATGTGTTTAATTGTACAGGTGTTTTAGTTGTATGAGATTTTGTGTTTATATATTTATGTTAAGTTTAATCATATGTTACCTTATGCAACTAATAATATTTTTTTTTTATTAAAACTTCAGCGATTGTGGAGTTTTTTTTGCGCCATTTGTCAAGTATTTCATCACTTACACTCCCTTGATTGACAAGTATGATGTTGATTTGGAGAGGCTGAGGTACTCATACTTATTGCATGGATATGGTAGGATGAAGCAAGGGAAGGGATGCAATGATGATTTTCCAGGGTTGCTTCCTGATTCGAGCGCGTCAAATTGTTTCACATTTACTACTTCATGTTAAAAAATGATTTAAGTCGTGTGTTTTTAAGTTTAGTGAATCGACTTTGATGTATGAGCATTGAGTTTATTCATGGTCTTACTGTTTGATTTAGAATTTTTGGATGTTTTTAGTAAGGTTTTTATTGTGCATCGTAAAATTGGAATATTATGTGTTGATTTTGAATATGTATCGAAGGTGATTTTGTATGCAACAACGAAAATATTGCTATTTGATTTTACTATTTTGTTTATTTAACTGTATATTAGACATGATGGGGATAAGTAAATATATACCGTGAATATACTTACATTATACCGAATTATATATAACGTATTATATATATATATATATATATATATCATATACGAAACATATACTTTAGTGTATACTTTAGTTAACAATATCATTTAGCATAAATAAATATTTACTTAAGCATATATGCAACATATACTTGACAATATACTGAAGTAAACTTCTAAAATTATTACGTCTTGTTGCAACATATGTAACATATACTTTACTTAAACACAAAAAAATACCTCAAATCGGATATGAAGACCCATTTGACTTTCTGCTTACATTGAGATAAGACCTCATAGTACAAGATTTATCTAAAATATAAAATATCGTGATTAATGAATACTATTATCAACAAAGAACATTTTTATTATTTAGTTTTATTCATCTTTTGACATGTCATCATTACACCTTTTTTCGGATTTGGATATGTTTTCATTAGATAGTGAACTGGGAAAAAAAAAAAAGGTATTGGATCGAGATGGAGACTGAGCCTTTTCTGCACTGCACATTTATGTGGAAACGATTGCCCAACCACAATATCAGACTTTAAGGGGTGATTGTTTATGGATTCAACTAGTTTTTATTTGATTTGTTTTTTAACTATAGTTAATTTTGAAAAAAAGTGGTATGGTTAGTTGTTAGTGTATATATTAAAACAATATTTAAATAAAATAATTAAAGTTGATTTGATGTAAAGTATGAGAAAAATTATTTGAAGTGATTATTAGTTAAAATTATGTGAGTGGATGAATAGTGAATTAAAGTTGATGTGATGTCTAAAAATGATTGGTTGATATTATTTAACTATATTGATAATATTGAGGATAGTGGAGTTGGGTTAAAGTTGAGTTAAATATGAGTTTTGATTATTTTTTTTTAGTTGAATAAAATTGTCGTCCGCCTCTCTCTTTTTTCTCTTGCCCCAGGTCGCCCGCCACATTCAATCTCTCCATCTACAACTTTAGGTAGTTTTCTTATTGTTGAACTCTATTTCTATGGAAGGGATTTTTGCAGTGATTTATATATTTGTGTATATTTATAATATGGATGGTTGTATTTAGGATCAAAATTATAATAGTTGAAAGCCATGGGTGTCTCTTTGAAAATTTGATAATGTTTCAGATTTAATTGTGAATAGATGTATTTCTCTGCGCACTGCTGGTCTGTTAAATCGCTATTTTGAACCTCCTAATGTAGCCTTCTGTTTTTTGCATCTTCACAAAACTTATAGCTCTGTGTCTTGGCTTCCTGTAGGCGAAAGAAACAATCGAATATCTATTTTCTAGTGAAAGTTACAGTCAGAATACGCAGACTGCAAATAGTGTTTGGTCCAGTTTTTTCAGCAACACTGCTGTTCAGTTTGAGTATAATTTTGACCCTTTTCACATAATTTTCCGTATTTGAAGTCAACATAAGAGTTTTAGATATTTTTGTTTACTTTATATTGGAGCAAGAATCATATAAATACTTGTTTTTGTTTTGAAGTTATGTCAAATATACGAACATTGCGCCTGCTGCCAAGTTAATAGAAAACTTGTTTGACATGATTTGTTTGATGTATTTATGTTATAATTTCCTGGTTTTTGAACCTTTATGTGCTTTTTTCAGAATGAAAGATGAACAAATTGTTGATCTTGATGATGACGTGCCAAGTCCAAATATTAATGAGTCGAATGCAAACCCAACAAAGAAAGCAAAAACAAATGATCCGACGTCGGGAGTGTGGGAATTTTTTGATCGTTTAGGTACTGGATCTGATGGAAAGCCACAAGCTGCATGTAAAGCTTGCAAGAAAAAGTATATTGCCGGAGGGTCAAGATAAGGGACTTCTAGCATAACTCGCCATATGAATAAGTGCCAGCAATTAAAATCGAGATATTAAAGCGATGTAAGTAATTTACTTATTGATCATGCTGGGAAGATGAGAAGTAGAAAAATTTCTCAGAAAGTTCTTCGTGAAAAGATTTCTCAGGCTATTATAAGACATGACCTTTCCTTTTCATTTGTTGAATATGATGGGATTAAGGATGTTCTTAAGTATTGTAATCCGGATGTGAGAACCTTTTCTAGGAATACTGCTTCTTCTGATGTGTTGAAACTTTATACGGCTAAGAAAAAAATCTTGAGGAAAATGTTGGCTGATGTTCGTAGTCGAATATACTTGACTTCTGATGTTTGGACTGCATGCACGTCTGAAGGTTATATATGCTTGACTGCTCACTTTATAGATGCTGAGTGGAAATTAAATAATTTCATACTCACTTTTTCTGCTTTTCCTCCTCCACATTCAGGGCCTGAATTAGCAAGAAAAGTTTTTGATTTACTAAGAGAGTAGGGGATTGACAGAAAAATATTTTCAATAACCTTGGACAATGCAAAATCTAATGATAACATGCAAGATATTTTGTGTGAGCAGCTTTGTTTGCAAGATAGTTTATTATGTGAAGGTCAATTCTTTCATATTCGTTGCTCGACACATGTCTTGAATCTCATTGTGAAAAAAGGTATAAAAGTTGCTGGTGATGCTTTGCATAAGATAAGGGAGAGTGTTAAGTATGTGAAGGGGTCAGAAGGGAGAATGAAAGCTTTCGAAGAATGTGCTAAACAAGTGGGCATCCAAACGGGGATCCATTTGAGATTGGATGTTACTACCAGGTGGAATTCCACTTACATGATGCTTGAAAGTGCATTGAGATATCGGCGGGATTTTACTAGCCTTTCTTTGTGTGATAGAAATTATAAGCATTGTCCATCGGTAGATGATTGGTCAAGAGGCCAAAAAATGTTTGAATTTCTTCGCCCATTTTTTGATATAACTAAGTTGATGTCTGGCTCTTCTTATCCGACTTCCAATGTGTATTTCACCCAAGTTTGTGTTGGGATCTGTGAGGATCTCGTTATGTACAAGTCACGAATTCAATAGCAAACGTAAACCTATGCGCAGCGGATCTAAAGGTTTGACGTGGAGAACTTACGGCTTAAAATTTATGTAGATCTGGTTGATCACGAATGATTGACCGCAATTGATTGACCGCAAATCACGTCTTGGGTTGCACGAACAAGATCAGATCAAAATCGAATCAAACGGATGCAAACAGATCAAAACGAAACTTTGCAGCCTGGGAGCTTCCGGCGGCGCGTGAGGGCGCATGAGGCGTCGGACGGCTGCGATCTCGGTGGCGATGGAAAGTCTCGTCGAGACGGTCGTCTGGGTATGTTGTACATCTCAATCGGACTTCCGATTAGTTCTGTAGGTCAAAATATATTTCGTCTCGGTTTACCTACAGATCTTCTACTGTATTACTCAATACACCCTTCTTCTACTTGTACCAGTGGAGCAACAAGAAGAAGATAAAGCTTGAATGAGATCTAGAGAGAGAGAGAGGCGTGGGGCGTGTCTCGTTAGAATGAGATTTGGATTCTCTTCTCATGAGCTTAATGATGTATATATAGAGCTACAGTAGGGACCCTTAGGAGATTAGGAAAAGTGCTCCTTAATTAATTAGAATAACTGTGGGCCAAGCCCACTCTTCTAATTAATTAAATAATATTAATGGGCCACCAACATTATATTATTGCACTCCCTTTTCCTAGCCCAAATTACATTTGAGACTCCAATAATAATTTCTCGATTTACCTCCCCACGTTTAAGATATAATGTCCATTAATTAATTCGATTACTGACAATCAAGAATTAATTATTTCACCGAAGCTAGCGCTCGTCCATCACATTCTTATTATGCCGGAACTTTATCCACCTGCAGGGTTTAGCATAACAATCCTTCATGAACTCACTCTGGGGACATCATCAAACTAACGCACATGGTGACCGTAAATATCCTAACAACACATCCTATATATAATAATATTACCCAAAACAGTAGGAATATTAATCCAGCGAACTGAACCTCACCCATGTGAATCAAAGTAATATATATTATATATATCTGTCTGTTTAATATCTTACGGGTTAAGAAAACGCAGTAATTAACCGAGGCCTAGTTCATTTACGACGATCAGTATAAAATGAACTTCTCCTCTCTGGGATCCTGTACAATACATAAATGTACTAGTGCAACTAATCAGTCAAGACAAACTGTACAGTTGACACTACAACCGTTCGGATGGGGTGTTCATATCCATCTAGGTTGTGAACAACTATTCTTATTCGCAAGTGATTGATAGAGTGATCTTCGGTTCGCCCGATGACGACCCACCCTATCTAAGTGCAGAACAACAGAACGTAGAACTTGTTTAATCTAACATGATTCTCATTCATAAAGGGTAAATGTGTAATAACATGCAAAGCCAAGCTTTCAGTATATAACACTAACAGTTTGGAAAATTCAGTGTTTGTTGTTGAAGAATGTGAATAATGATGATGTTGTGATAAAGGAGATGGTTAAGGAGATGATTGGAAAGTTTGATGATTATTGGAAAGAATATAGTATTGTTTTTGCAATGGGGGCGATACTTGATCCTCGGATAAAATTCCAATTTTTAGAGATGTGTTACGATAGAGTTGATCTGAGTACTACTCATGAGAAGTTAGAGCGTGTGAGGCGTAAAACCACATTGTTGTTTGAGCAATATTCAAATAAATCGGAAAATCCGTCAAGCTCTTCTGAGCCTCCTTTTACTACAACCAGTCAAGGTGGAGTGGGAATAAAAGTAGATGATTTAGGGAGCTCATTATCGCCTACGGATGTAAGATTTTTCTATNAATAAAAATTTTGTTGCTATTTTTAATCAAATACATCCTAGTTAAAAATAGCACTAAAACACAATTAATCATAGCACTACATACAATTAAAAATAGCGGTTCTCACGGTTCTCACGCTAGGACTTGGTTCTCATTTGAACCACATCCTATATATATATAACAAAAATGTACATTATCTTCATTCATTTTGTTCTTGTTGTTTCAATTTAATTATTTTTTATCAAGACTTCAAGTTGTTCGATAGTCAAGTTGTTACCACTATCGGAAAGAGTCAATTGGAGAAGTACTTGGAAGAGGCAAAGTATGAATGGAATCATTTCCAAAATTTGGATGTCTTACGATATTGGAAGGAAAACGAATATAGATGGCCCGAGTTAGCTTTGATGGCTTCTGATGTTTTGAGCATTCCAATACTACGGTGGATTCGGAATCTGCATTTAGTATTGGTTCTCGAGTGCTTAACAAATATAGGAGCTCTCTTTTACCTCAAAATGTCCAAGCTTTGTTATGTGCACGTAATTGGTTCCATGGATTCGCTTTCGAGGGTATGTTTTTTTATAAGAATAGTAGTGGATAAAATTCTATTTTTATATTTTTGTTCTCCACTTATTAATGATATATTATGTTTTAAATTGGTTATGTAGATGAGGATGACGATGAAACATTGAAAGGATCAAACTCATCTATGGTCGGTTCAAGCGATTCGGGAGGTGAAGATGAAGACGGGAACTAGAAACAATTGCGTTGCTCACTAGTTTTTCTTTTTTCTTTTCCTTGTGATGTTTGGTACTAGTTATTTTATTGTCGGACTTTGATTGTTTGAATTTTACTTTGAATATGATCTGCTATGGGAATTTGAATGTTTGTTAATTAATAATTACTATTGATGGACTTATTTATTTTGTTAGATTTTGTCTTTATCGTCTTTTCTTCTTCTTCTTCTTCTTCTTCTTCTTCTTCTTCTTCTTCTTCCATATTTATTTATTTTATATTTAAAATTTGACAATGATATTAAGATTTGTGAATGCACATGAAACACTTTTTTACATAATAAAAATATTAATGAATCAAATAATATTTTATGTAGAAAAACAACAACTCTCTCTTCCTAAACCCTAAACGCCCAAATTCACTTGCTCAGTCCAAATTGACGGCCGATTTGCCTTCCTCGGCGTTGGCGGAGTCTCAGCTAGAGGTCGTCCTCGACCGCTTGGCTACTCCTGATGCTGTGCGTCGACGTGCCGCTGTGGTCGGTTCACGATTGGAGGTCTAGTCTTCGATTGTCGATGGGGCTTCGGTCGGTGGTGGCGTACTGCCCGTTTGGCGTCTGGCCTGGTGTCTTTCCCTCAGTCGCCGGTGGAACTCCGATTTGTGGCGGTAAGTCCCTCTCTCCTCTCCCTGTCCGCGATTTTTGGGCGCTGTTATTTCCGGCGGGGCTCCGCCTTTTCGGGATGAGCAAAGGCTTTTGGTCGAGGGCTAGCTGTGGTGGTGTTGTTCGGCGAGTGTGTCATTGGGAGTGGCGGGACTCCGTTTGTTGCAATTTTTCTGGTTGTGGCAGTCGGGGTTGAGGGACCGAACCACCCCCACCCTCCCCTGTTTCGGCTAGTGGTGTTAGGCGGCGGGGGACCCTGGGCTCGGCTAGTGGTGTTAGACGGGCCGGGTGGGTGTGGGGGCTGGTCGATTCTCTCTCGGTTGGAGATGGGTTGATGCGAGGGATTGGTTCGGAGCCCGAGTTCGGCTACTGTATAGGCATTTGTGCAGTTTCGGTAGTGTTTTCTCTGGCTTGGAATCTTCTTCCCAGAGTCGATCTATCATCGCTGGCTGGAACCGTTCTTTTGCCGAGGAAGGGCTATTATGTTATTTGGTTATCTGCTTCTAGTGTCTTGTGTTGTCTGTGTTTGTGTTTGTGTTTGTTTTTTGTGTTTTAGGTTTGGGCCGTTGGCCCCTGTGCGCCCGGGTGTCACTTTATTACCCCCTGGGGGCCCGACACTCGAGGATTACCCTGTGGGGGTCTTTGTATTGTCTTTTGTGCGTTTTAGTGCTCTTGTGGTTTACCCTGTGGGGGTCATATCCCGTCTATGGGATTTCTAGGCCGCTCTATAGCGTGTCCTCCCAGTTTTCTTTTTCGGCTGTGGGTCGTGTTTGTATTAGAACTTTGTTCTATTTTGAAGTTTGATATAATATCTCTTTCGTTCCGAAAAAAAATAAATAAATAAATAATATTTTATGTGAATTAAGTCTCTCCTCCGCGTGAATACCCTATAACTATTCATAAAAAAAATAAAAATAAAAACTGGATGACAAATATTTAACATCATTACACATGAAACCTTAGTAGTTTATTAATATACTAGTAAATATAAGGATAAACAAACCAAAAAGTATATAAGGGTGCATAATACCAAAAAACCCGCGGGCCTGCGGGCTAATGAGGGCGGGCCACGGGCCATAGATTTCCCAGCCCGTAGAAATGCGGGCCATTTTGGCCTGCCCCGTTTGAACCGCGGGCTAGCGCGGGCCGAACCGGACCGACCCGTTTGACCTGCTACTTATATGTCAAGACATCCAAAATAGTCAGTGCAAATAAAATAAATTAGGAGAAACAAAAAATTAAATAAATTAATTAAAAATAAAATTAGGCTATTAAAATTACCTTTAGGTTTCTATAATTACTTTCATCATATAGTCGAGTCTCAGCCTACCGGTCGTTGCCGCCGTACATCGAGCCACGAATCTAAGCTGTCTCCCCAAGAATTTAATTATCAACCGAGAGTCGAGCGAGACCACGAATCTAAGATGTCGCCCCGAAAATTAACTCTCAACCGAGAGTCGAGCGGTACGACAACCCCCTCCGTCGCTGTTGGCCGTCGCGTCGTCTATCGATCTCTAATACCAGATCATTTGTTTTTTTTTTCCTTTAATAAACTGAGAAGAAGGGAAGATATCATAATTCGATTTGCAAAATCAATAACCTGAAACATTGATATTATGCCCCATATTTTTGGAAAATTTTTTTGTAATATTTTTTATTTTATTTCAATTGCGTGTATTACGGGGTTGAGAGGATGACAACGAGACTAATGGGAGCAATAGAGAAACCGTATATTTGATACTAGTGCATATCCCGTGCGATGCACGAGGTATATGCATTTGAAAAATATTATAATTTGACATGCATTAGGATATATGAGAGTTTAATACATACGAACAATATTCAATCATAAAATGTTCGTCACAAAAGAATCATATATTAATAAAAACCTCTTTGAACACAACATTAGGAGTTTGATTATTAGGTAACTCGTTGTGAGGAGCACGGCCCGAGGCGGGCTGCACAAAGGGTTGTAGAAATTGGGCCTCACTTAAATGGGCTCCCTTACTGGACTTCTCTCCTGGGTTGAGAATGTTGATTGTTGTTGCCGAAAAAATTACCCCACACTGTATTTGAGCCTTTAGTTATTTACATAATCCTAGCTTAGTTGATCAATAAACAAATATATAACTCAAAATATATTTTTCTTAAAGAGGGGCAGTTATGAAATTTTTCCATATATATTAAATAGATTAATTCGGCCTATTTACTTTGGCCCGGGCCCAGCCACTCTATATAATTTAGCTTTTTGCCCAGATCATCTTAATATACCATCTCAACACCCCAACTACCCTCACTAATTAAATACACAATCAATCTTCTAATCCTCACTAATTAAATACACACGACACTAAAATTTTTTTTTGGTACAAACACGCCACTAAATTAAATACACACACTCAAATCTGACGAAAAAAAAAAAGAAGTAAAATTCTCTCTCCTCTCATCACTTATTCTCTTCATCTTCTTCATCGCGTAGCAAAGTTTTTCTTTTTTTCTAATCTTTCATCTGTGAATTGAAGACCAGTAGATCTAACACGCAAATCTTTTCTCATAGCCAATAACACTCACAAGAAATTTTCCAAATACAAAAACCCCAAAAAATTTCAAAAGTTCCAGAAATTTTATGTCTATGCTCCTCCGCCCCGATCTGATCGTCTTCTCCGTCCTCCCGTTATTCTCCTCCTCCGCACATCCTAGCCGCTCATTTTCACAATCCTCGATTTGATCATGCTCCTCCCTTCTTTTTTTTTTTTTGACGGGCCAGCCCGCCTAGCCCGCGGCTCGTGGCGAAGAAGTTCGTTCGGAGTTACGATTCCGACGGGTAAAACCACGAGGCCGATGGATGGATCTCGGTTGGGCCCAAGTAAATTATAAGAAAATGGTAAAATAATATATTTATTTGTATAATTACATAGGTATTTATGACTCAATTCTGTATGAATGATCAATTTGATAAACTAAAGGTTTCATATCATGATACAAAAACCAAACGAAATATTACCTGGAAAAAGATTTAGGGTTTTTGGTGTAACATTAATTGTGTGTTGTAGATCTGAGAAACCGCACGTCTGCTTGTTTGTATTGCCTGGGGGTGAGTTTTCTTGATATGAGATTATTTAAATTTAGTGGCAGTATATATGACTATGAGATTTTTTCATGATATGAGATTTATATATATATATATATATATATATAGATTTATGTTCATTGATGCTATTTAAATTTTGAATGTGATTTTTGTTGATAACAACAGATTAAAAAATGCCTACAGCTTTATCTTTTTTACATGTTGAATTTGGAAATTAACAGATTCCTTCATAATAGAAATACAAAAAAAGTGAAACACTATATGACTATAATGCAATCATTTAAGGATAAACCGATGCAATATGGGATAGAACTTGTACAGATTTGTATTTCCATGTAAAATGGGATTCTTTCCAATTATTCAGCCACTAAATTTGTACATACCGAGCAAATAAACGATTTTATAGGGATTTTTATGTGCTATTCAAATTTTGAAATGAATTGATTACACGCATATTTTGTTGATAATAAACGGATTTAACGGGCTTAAATAATTTACAGGACATTTGTAAAGCATTTAATGTAGACATGTTTGAACATAGATAAAACGTGCTATTAATAGGAAAAATTCTTATGCGATTTTTAATGAATAAAAATAGAAGGATAAAGAAAATAAATTATATCACAATAAAACTACGATTTTTAATGAGCAAAAAACATAAGGATAAAGAAAACTAATTATTACGTTATCAATTATGTCTGAAAACCTATATTTAGTAGACATTAAATGTATTTGGCAGGAAAAACTTACTAAAATTGTTAAATGGTTAATCTTTTAATATAATGATAGATTAACATGCTCTAAAAACTAGTATGATAAACTTCTACATAATTGTTAATTATGTAATTAAGACGAGTACACATAATAAGTATGTTAATTCGCTTAAAATTATGGATTATTGGTATCTAACGGGATAACAGAAGTCCAACAACTAAAGCCCAATATGCTAAGGCCTTATTTGTTAAAAAAAAAATAAAAAAAAAAAAATATTACAATCGAAACTGACGATGTAACTCACAATTAAATAATATTAATCAAATTATTCTTACAAGTCACAACAATTCTAATTCATTACTTACATAATTTCCATTAATCTATCTACACTTTTATCTTTAATTAATTTTAATTATTTTATTTTAAATATTAATTTAGTACAAATTTAAAATCTCACTAATATTAACTGTACTAACTTATACTCCATTTGTAATCAAACACACCCCTAATATTTTGAGGACATACCTCGTCTCCTTGCTCGTCCGCCGCTGCCAAGCTCAAGTCCTCCGTTATCCCGGCGCCGTTCAACCTCTAACCTTTCTCCAAGGGAAGAAATAATAGAAATTTTATAAATAAATTTTATAATCGAAGGTGAATTTCAAACCCAGAATAAAAAAAAAAAAAAATCAGCTATTTATACTGCAGTAGAACAAATGGCATCTCGACCGGAGCTCCAAGCGCCGCCGGAGATATTCTACAATGACGATGAAGCTCGTAAATATACATCATCTTCTCGTATTATAGATATTCAGGTACTCAAGTATGGTCCCTTTTCCCCTCCTTACGTACCTTGAGGCTTGAATGTCCTTCGAATAATTGTGCTATACTGTGTGAATGTGCGAAGGCGAAACTTTCTGAGAGAGCGTTGGAGCTTTTAGCTTTGCCGGACGATGGCTTGCCCAGATTACTGCTTGATATTGGTAAGTTTAGCTGTCCATTTCTTCTTTTACCTTTATTACTCTTGGAATTTTGGTCACCGGCAAATTATGATGATTTGCCTGCATGTTTTGATATTTGCCTTTATTCATGTTTATGTGCGTGTCGGAATGAAATTCGTGATTCTCTTGTTCACTTTTATTCTTGGGCTAGCACGGCATGTTCAAGTAATGTTCGACTGGATTAATATCAGTCAGCTTGGATTTGATATTTTGATTTATCTTGTTTACACTCAAATTGTTGAAGATGAGTTTGTATTGCAATCGTTATACCAAAATCATTTTGCATCTAATCGGAATGCGTTTACCGTGTTAATCATATAGGGTAAGGAGGCTATTAGCTTTTAATTAGGTTATCTAACCAATTGCAGCCTCGATTTAATGAGTTTCTCTCGTGTTCTTTAGTTCTTTGAATATCAGAACAACTTGTAGCTGCTTGATGTGCATTATTCAGATGTATGTACTTTAGAACCATACTTAGTTGGTTTGCCTTATGGGAATCTTATGTCAATTCACATTTCTCAATATCTCTCTCAGAATTTTGTTTGTAACATTCATATTCTGGTGTTTGTTCAGGTTGTGGATCAGGACTTAGTGGGGAGACACTGACTGAAAATGGGCAACAGTGGATTGGTTTTGATATATCCCCATCAATGCTAGGTATATCAAGCAAATAATATCTTGTACAGATTTTCATTTGAATTTACTACTTTCGGTATTGTTATATATGTATATAAGCCAGTATAATCTTAACTGGTCCAGATATTGCATTGGAGCGTGAAGCTGAGGGTGACCTTATGCTTGGTGACATGGGTCAGGTATAGCTGATTGAAACTACTCGGAACTCTTCAAAATATGCAGTTGATAAAATGATTCATATTAGCTGATTGTTTTACAGAAATTTGGATCTATTGTGTATAGCAGATGCTAATTAATGGAACTATTGTTGCTGATCATCGAAATACATTTCTGTAGAATAATATATATGAGGAATTTTACGTCGATAAAAGCTAATCTCATTTTGGTATTTTCTACAGACAGGGATTCTGTTTGGCTATTTGTTAGAAAAAAAAAATGTATTTGGAAAATATAGAAACATGTTACAAATCTCCCTCTTCCTCTCCCTGAAAAATATCTGATCCTGTGTGAGCTTTTTTGTGTGTCTACGTGGTTTTGATGGTATGCATCGAAAATTCGGTTAGGTTTGGCACAAGCAAAATCGCATGGTCTATTATCCAACGAAATGAAGAATATAATATGTAATTGATTTTTTATTAGGCTGCGAATGACTTGTCATTTTGTTGCTAAGGCAGAATTCTGCAATAACATTGTCATAATGAAATACTGCAGGGCTTGGGACTTCGTCCCGGAGTTGTTGATGGGGCAATGAGTATTTCAGCTGTTCAGGTTCATCTTTTCACATTTGATAATCTGCAGATGGCATTTTAAAGGATCATTTTTCTGTCTTGCAAATCACATTATCTAATGTTGAGTGCTAACTTTCGTTGCATGTTGCGGAACCAACTAGTGGCTATGCAATGCTGACAAGTCTTCCCACGAGCCATGTCTAAGATTGAAGTACGTATAATTTTCTCTAAAATTCTATAATAAAGATAACAATCTCCTCTGTGAGTAAATAATTTTCTTACATATTTTTGGACCTATTTTTCGATTTAATCGTTATATATTACTGTAGAGCCTTCTTTGGGTCGTTATACAGATGCTTGGCACGTGGAGCAAGGGAAGTTTTACAGGTATACCCTGAGAATTTGGCTCAACGTGAGCTGATTCTTGGATTTGCCATGCGAGCTGGGTTTTCGGGGGGTGTAGTTGTGGATTTTCCGCATAGGTACGTATTTTGAATTATATGTAAAAAAAAAGGGACTGCCAAATAAATCGGTCACTGAGCTTTAGAATGGATATTTGCATATTTGAAGTAGTAAGCAAAATGGTGCTTAACTTAAAAATTGCACGAATGCCCCCCAATTGATTCGAATNCCCCCCCTTCAAATCAGTACTAAGCAAAGGAAAGAGTACCTTGTGCTCACTTGTGGACCACCATCACTAAGTAGTGCTGCCCCCAAAGGAAAATGTGAAGAAGATGGGGAAAGTTGTTCGGATGATGACATCAGCAGTGGAGATGAAGAGAATGAGTCGGTGAGTAACCATTTAGTTCTCATCTCTCACTGCTTAGGGCGTGTTTGGATACAAATATATCAGTTTTTTATTTGGTTTTCTTTTTTTGTTAACCGTAGTTAATTTTGAAAAAAATTGGTTTGGTTAGTTTTTATTGTGATATTAGAATAATATCTAAAATAAAATGATTAAAGTTGATTTGATATAAAAGTAGAAGAAATGTGATAAGAAGTGGTAGGTAGTTAAAATTATGTGAGTGGATGAACAGTGAAGTAAAGTTGATGTGATGTGTACGGATGATTGATTGATATTATGTAATTATATTGATAATATTGAAGATAGTTGGGTTGAGTTAAAGTGAGTTAGATCTTGAGTATAAATTGATTACGAGTATGAGTTTATTTGTATCCAAACACCCCCTTACTGAATCCAAGGATGGGAATATTATAACATCCAATATTTTTGTCTCGTTAAACTCATTATCGTTAATGCAGGTTCTAGTTTCGGATCGGAACAGACCAAGGAAAAAGCAAAAACTGAACAAGAAGGTGAAGGGAAGGGAATGGGTTTTGAGAAAGAAAGAACAAATGCGCAGAAAGGGGAATTCAGTTCCTGTGGACACAAAGTACACTGCCCGCAAATGGAAAGCCCGGTTTTGACGACATTTTTTCTTTAGTTGGGTTGTGAAAAAGTACACTGTCCATTATTTATTTTTATTTTTTTTAAATTGGTAGAGTTAATCATTTTTTTTTTTGGAAGTTTTACATTTAAAATACATGAGATTTTCAATTTTTGCAATTTGATATATTATGCCTAATAAATTAAGGACTTGTGGTGGCGATAACGGGGATATTTAGATGTAGAAAGGGAGGAGTTTAGATCTGTTATATAGTTAGTCTATGTTTGTTTTTTCCATTTGTAGTTTGTATTTTATTTTGTGTTTCGTTACTTTTTATGTCTTACGTTGTCTTTTGTCAACAATTTTTATGTTGATGATTATTGAGAAATTATTGGTGCCAAAAATAAAGGAAAATGGAAAGAACAAAACTTTAATTGAACTTTTTTAAAATTCGAATCAAATCCCATCTCACGTCAAGGATACATCAAAATCATAAAAAAATTAAAATAAAATTATTGAGAAATATTGGATATGTATTCGGCTATTCGCCATTTGAAAACGTTTTGCCGATTCTCTCAATGGGCACCAACGGCAGGTAACACGACACGACATAGCCTCTCTCGGCAGAAAAGGCCACGGCCTGGTTATACTTCTCGGCCCAATAAGCAGCCGTTGGGACCATAATATGGGCCAGTTGGGCGAACAAAGGGAGCCCATTAAGGACCCGCCAAGCCGCAACTGCATACTGCTCGGCTATTGGCTCATACTTGGCGTACAGCTCGCTGGCTGCCGGCTCGTATTTGACGTAAGCGGCTCTGCCGATTTTAGAAGCCGTGTCCACAAGGCCGGCTTCATGCACCTCGGATGCCAGCTCTTTAGCCAATTTTGAAGCCGAATGAGCCGCCGTTAAGGCTTGGCTTGTGGCTAGCTTGAGAATAGCTGGCACGTGATGGTTCAACTCGATTAAGGACTGGCCCACCTGCATACAATTCAATAATTATCATATGAATCATATTTACCTTATCACGCATAGTTAAAAATACTAATTTGGATCAGTAAATCTATACTATAATTTCGACATTACGAGCATCTCCAATGTTATAGCTTTGAAAGACAATAATTTTTAACACATGTCAATCAATGGTTGTAATGTTAATCCATGTAGGAATAATGTTAAAAGAGTAGAAATTTGAATCAAACTAGTATCTCCAATGCATCAATTTGATAAGAAGTTATTTGTATATGTGGACCAATTAAAATAATCATTAATACAAGAACAATAAAAAATTAAATCAAATATAAAGTGAACTGATTAGTCATCATGTTTAACATGGTGTTAGATATTAGAAAGTGTGTTCGACATTTGTCAACATTAAATGTTATCCACCTCATTATGAAAGAGTTCATGACAAGATGCATTCGAGAATAAATTAGTAATACAATTTCAAAAGTTGATGATATAGATGAATTTTTATGAAGTCAAAAGCCACATTGAAGATGTTCTAAATGAAGAATGTTTGGCTTATTCCTTAATTATACATAACTTGCAATTTAAAGCGCATCTTGATAATACATAATTTGCAACTTCAAGTGGATTTTAATTACACAATCATCCACAAACTACACGTGTGCATAATTTAGATGTACGAAATATTATACATTACGAATGTCAATTAAAGTTTAAATTNTGGGTCCTTCATAGTAGGGCATTTCTGGTCGCCTTTCTTTTGGCTCGTGAAGCTATGTTTTTTGTTAGTTTTATTAAGGAGTTTTTCCCACTAAATTTTCAAGCTCATTCTCAATTATGGAATCAATTCTTATTTTATTTATTTTTTTCTATTGTACTCCCAATGATACTAATTTGTTCCAGTTAACTCTCTTACACTATAAAAAAAATACATAAATCTATAAAAAGGTGACATCAATCCTTTACTATTAACTTTTCACAAATTTGTATTATTTTTCTTTTTCTCTTCCCCACCCAACCTCCCTCCCTGTCAACCCTCCACCTTCACCTTTTTCCCTCGTCGACTTCTTTTTTTCTTTTTCCTGCAGGTTCAGCTTTCCGGCGAATGACGTGCGTAAATATTTCGGCTACAAGAACTCCGACGAAAGACAGGAGGAACTCCGGCAAAGGACAAACGGCCCTTTGTGGCAAAATTTTGTCTATCTCCGACAAATTTAGCCGTTTTCCGACGAAAAAGGTGGTCATTGTACGCTATCTATTTACTGAGGACTGAAGAGTCTGAAACTAGTCTTTTATCCATAAATTTTTCCCCCTAAAATCTTGTTCTTTTTATCATTTTTTATTATTGTTCTTTAAATTCACACTAAAATAAATATGGTGACAATAATCGATTTGTTGTTGTTCATATCTACTATCAACCATTTATGTTAGGTTATGTCAGGTTATTTTTTCGCACAGATGATCATTCTACCATTGATGCATGATTATGGTACATCTGTTTGTGTAGTTTAGTACCTCTGTCATCAATATTTGATACCAGTTTGTGCTGAGAAATTTGAAGTTTCATTTTGTTCAACTCATTTAAAATTTTATATTATTGTTAGATACAATAGAAGGGGCACAAAACGAGTTATTAAGGAGTTGCTCTTACAATATTGAATTGTTTGTTTTTTCTATACACGTCGAATTGAGTCTGAAAGAAATATACACCCTTACTTCTAAGAGGTGGCCTGGTGTAAATTCACAATCTTTCATCTTATGTTATATTGCGCCAAATTCAAAAGCTGGCCTTAGATCTACTGATATATGAATATTTATTCATTGACATTAATAGCACCAATTCAACTATGTGGCCAAGGTCCATTCTAGTGGAACAGCAATTATAAATTCTTTCTTCCACCGAAAAATCTCGTACAACATATATATATATATATATATATATATATATATATATATGCATTTGTGCATGTGAACAAGATTAAGTATTAGTATATATACATAATATGCTAAAATTTTGCTATTGACATCACTTATAGAGTTATCTACAATTATATTCACAAATGATGAGTGCCACGTATATTACCATAAGTACACTTCGGTCAGGTGTATCTAGAGATGTTAAATGGTCCTTGGCCCGCGGGCCGGCCCGTTTAGCCCGGAAAAAAATAAGGTTAGGGCCTTTTATTGCCAACCTGTTTAAATTCGGGCTTTTTAGGCCCGAACCGTTTAGCCTGAAGTCCGTTAGGGCTAGCCCTAGCCCGAAAATCGCTAGGGCTAGCCCGTTTAACTTGGGTTGAGTGGTGTATATGTTTTTAGAAAGGTAAATAATATGTCTCATCCTTATATATTACAAGTTTGTTATTCTACTTCACATGTAATTATGAGTTATAATGTATTATTATTATTTTGATAGATAATTATTAACAAAGTTTATTCTATTTCACAGCAAAATATTTAAGCCAATCAGAACAGTTAATAAAAAACAAATGAGACAAAAATCTAACACATAGAATATAGTGATAGAATATAAATTCACCAATATGTTATATTGTGAAAATTCCCGAAGCGTACCAAATAACTAGTCAAATGATAGTTATAAGTAATAGTTAACATTTTTTTTTTTCTATTGAGAAAACAATATGTTATTTAAGAGTTTGTAATGTGTGTTCATATATGAAGTGTAGTTGTATATATATAGTGGTAAATAGTAAATAACCGTTGAAAAAAATCGTTAACTAGGTGTTGTAATTTATTATTATTATTATTATTATTATTATTATTATTATTATTATTATTATTATTATTATTATAGCCCGTTTATCCTGAAACCCGCTAGGTTTAGTGTTAGGTACTTTTTTTGGTAGCCCGTTTAAATTTGGGCTTTTTAGGCCCGGACCGTTTAGTCCGAAACCGCTAGGGCTAGTCCGTTTAACATCTCTAGGTGTATCAATAGAAAGTTACGTACAATTCTTGAAACATAAATTATTATTGTGTGAGACGGTCTAAATTTAAGGTGGGTCATCTCGTCGCACTATTCGAGCAAAAAAGCATACATATTGTATCAAATAGCATAATTTTGTTTTTATTATTTTATAAAATATATTATTTACTAATAAAAATAAGAAATATTTGAAAATTAGTATGTCGGTATAACTAAAAACCATTCGTTCTTCTAGTTATATTGACATTCACTTCACACTTTACTTAATATTTTGTAGAAACCTTAATTATTCACTTCAGAATTGGTTTAATTTTTCAAGTAAATAGAAAAAAATCATCTTTTTTGTAGATGTTACCTATTTATTGATTTACTAGTGCATGGCCCGTGCGATGCACGGGAAAACAATATTACGATTGTATTATAAATTAAATATATGAATAACATTATAATTTATCAATTATTTTTAAATTAAATCGGGTTAGACACAGTCCAACCGGATGGACCGGAAACCGGTTTAAAACCAGTCTAGTTCGCTTGAATAAAATATTTGCTCTCGAATCCGTCAACACCAGTCGGTTGGATCAATACGATTTTCTAAATTAATTTTGTTATATTTAAAATTATTTTAAATAAAATAGATATTTATAAATTATTTATCAATTAGTTTAAACATTTGAATTTATAAATTGTTTAGATATCTAAGTAACACATTTTATTTAAATTTATTACAAAAAGTAATATATATATATATATATATATATATTAAAATGTTTATAAATTAAAATCTGAACAAACCACAAATGATTCAAATCAGAAAGAAATCCAAGAACACATTGCTGAATTTTACTCCAATCTATTTACCTCAGAAGGATCTTGGGGAGGTGACTCCATCCTCCATCTCATACCAACAACCATCTCACCAGACAAGAACTCAGAACTACTTCAGCCAGTTCAAGAGGAGGAAATCAAGGCAGCTCTTTTCAGTCTACACCCCGAGAAGTCCCCTGGAGAAGATGGTATGACAGCCTTGTTCTATCAATCTTTTTGGGGAATTATCAAATCTGATTTACTTTCCTCTATTTCCAGTTTCTTCAATGACCATGGTTTACTTCTAAAATACTGGAACCATACCATTCTTACCCTAATTCCCAAATGTAGCAATCCTGAGTTTGTGCATCAATTTAGACCAATTAGCCTTTGTTCAGTTGTGTACAAAATTCTCTCCAAAATTTTGGCTCTTAGACTTCAATCCTGCTTATCAGACTGCATCAGTGATTATCAATCAGCCTTCATCAAAGGCAGACAGCTCATGGACAATGTGATAATTGGTCAGGAGGTTTTCCACTTCTTGAATAGACATAACTCAGGCAAAAACTGTTTCATGGCCTTAAAATTGGATTTGATCAAAGCCTTTGACAGAGTTGAATGGATTAGCATCAAACAAATCATGTTACAAATGGGCTTCCACCAAAACTTTGTCAACCTTATTATGATCTGCATCTCTACATGTTCTTACTCTTTTAAAGTGAATGGGACTGTTGATGGCTATGTTCTTCCCACCAGAGGGATAAGACAGGGGGATCCTTTATCCCCCTATCTTTTCATCATCATCACTGAAATGCTGACAGCCCTGGTCACTCAAGCTACTGCCTCAGGTCACCTCTCAGGCTTAAAAATTTCCAAGAATGGACCAGCCATCTCACATCTGCTTTTTGCAGATGACTCCTTGTTCTTTTGCAAAGCTAGTATTGATCAAGCTCAGGCCCTCCTTACCATCTTGGATAAGTACAAACTCTTCACTGGACAGGCTGTTAATCTCTCTAAATCTTCAGCTTTCTTCAGTAAGAATACTCCAGAACATCTGAAATCCCAAATCTGTGCAACTCTCAATGGAATCACCTCTCACAGATCTACTAAGTACCTTGGCCTTCCATTGGGCATAGGTAGATCCAAACTGGATACTTTCAAATACATCCTTGATTCAGTTACAGCAAGAGTTCACAACTGGAAAACAAAAATGCTGTCTCAAGCTGGAAAATCAGTTCTTATCAAAGCTGTTCTGCAGGCACTCCCAGTGTTCACCATGTCATGCTTCCAACTTCCTAAAACACTTTGTTCTCAAA